ACAGTGCTACCTACATATTGTGTACCTTCTCATTTAAGCATATATGTGTGTGTGTTTATATATATATATATATAGAGAGAGAGAGAGAGAGAGAGAGAAGCTATTTTCATCTCATGAAAGAGGAAACAGGATCTTACACATTATGACTTATCCAAGATCACACACATCCATGAAGTGAGTGGAACTTTTGGTAACCCAAGCACCTGAGCCACTGGTTAGAATCCTAATCCAGTTTTCCTGATTCTTGACCAGAGTGTAGGAAGTACATCCAATACTTAGCACTTACTGTAAATGGGGATGCTGACTCTCCCCTTGTTGTTCTTAATGTTGGGGCTAGCTCAGCATAAACACGGTTAGAAGATAACTCTATAGTTGTCCCAGGGAAAACGAAGGTCGTCTCTAGCTACTCTGAAAGAGGGCAGATAGAAGAGAGGGAATTCAAAATCAACATTCAACTTGAAAAGAAAAATAAATAATGAGAATATTCATGTAGATCATAAAGAGAAATAATGATTACCTTTTATTCCTAGAGAAAGCTAATTTAAAATGTATCCAAGCTCCAATGTACAGGCAAAAAGACAAATTTTTTTAATCTGTGAAGTTGAGATAAGTCTTCAGTAGGCAGAAACAAGTCGTCATCATTTAAAAATTGGGGAAGAAGCTCATTCACAGTAATTGAGGGGGAAAGAGTTCAGAGATTAACTGAACTTGGTTTAGGACACACACACACACACACACACACACACATACACATATTTATTTTTAAATCCAAATGGTATTTGGTGCCTACAAGATAAAAATCTGTCCTAAATGGCTGGCTGGAAGAAGAAAAACCCAGAGTAATCAGACAACCGACACAGAGACTTATGTGTTTATCAAATTAAAATCTGAAATCACTTAAAGCAAATTATCCATCTTTGAAGGAAACTCTCAAGTTCGTGTGAACTCTGAAAGAGAAGGAATACAAATATGTAGATTCTACAAAAGGGGGCAAGTACAACTTGGTTGGTTTTATACGTGAGTTTGGTGTGTACGAGATGCTAATTACATGAATGCAGTTGTAGCACAAGTGTCCATTTTAGACATCAGACGTACAAACTATGATATGTTTTAGAATGCTGTGACATTGGGGTGAGGTCATTACCTTTCTAGTTCAAGCTCTGTGACCTTGGACATTCAGTCTAGAAGAACCCACTGCCACCTGCCTGAGGTTGTAGATGAAGTATTTTCTTATTACCAATAAATAGTTACTCACTTTACAAATACTGAGAGCATAGGATCTGCCAGACCCTTTCATGAAACACAGACAAAGGAAGTGTGTTTCCTTCCCTCTCAGTCTACCTGCCTCCTAGGGGTTATTCGATGATATTATCTGCCTCATAGAACCACTAGAGTCCTGGGAATGGACAGAGACCCCAGAACTGCTGCCACATCCATTTGTGTCTCAGGTTCTCTGTGACTTTCTTACGTGCATTTCCTTGCATAGCTGCCTGGAATCCTTCCTTCTTCAGGACCAGCCCACAATATCATGTCTGATGCTCTCTCCACAAGTATCTGTCCCCAAACATGTGCCACCTATCAATGGTTCCCCAACATCCTGAATTATAATTGCTTACCTTTGAATCACCCATGAGATATGATCTCCCTGAGGGTCTTTTCAACTTCTGTTTTCTCTGCTGGCTCAGAGAAGAGGTGCTCAGGAAATACGTGTTTGATTGACCCAATTTAGCAGTACTCTGACGGTTCATAAATCTTGACCAGGTAGGCTAGGATGGTGCTTAAATGTAAATGTCAACATTGTCTCTGTCTATGCTAAGGATTAGCAGGAAAAGATACAGTATGTGTTCAACCCTTTCCTCCAGTGGAGATATGGGTAGTAAACATTAACTGGGTTTTGAGCATGTGCTGAGATATTAACCCTGATAGAAGAAATGCTGGTGTTTCACAGAGTTCCTGGGCAGAGAAAAATATGCCAAGAAGATTTATAACTCCATTTATTTCCAGGATGATTTGATATCAAAGGTCAGATAGCTCTTAGTCTTTGCAATGATGTCTGTACTGGCCGTGTTTCACAGTGGATTTTTAACTGAGGTGGGGTTCAGCTAGAACAGAGATACTACACTGAATGCTAAAGACAGACCCTCAACATGATATAATAAATTGCTTTGTGCCCAGGTCTAAAACATTACAAACACTAAATAATCCCATCATATTAGTGACAAGAAACGAGATAATTGATTTTTATAATACTTTTTCTTAAATTAGTGAGATGCCAATAATATCAATCTGTACCCTTGTTCAGAAGAACAAAACTCTATAAAAACATGACTCAGATGACTGTATGTCTATACTCTCAAGGCTGGATTAAAGTTTTTAATGATGCTATCTCCCTATCATGGTGAGATCTTACCCCCTAAACAAACAACCTACTTTCTGACCTCATAATAATGTTGGCTCAAAATACGTTTTTTAAAGTACATTTCAAAATAAATGATGTTAGAATAATACTTCATAGAGTTATAAGATCTACAAACATAAAAGATGCAGGCAGTATAAATGTTGATCATGTCAGGCTTATATTCTTTATCAAAGATAAGAACTTTCAAACAAGGCTTATGCAGAGCTCATTTTCCAAATACGTTTGAATTGTGATCTGTCTGAAGTTGAATAACCTTCCTTCGATTTTCAAGTAAAGATTTAACAGTATAAAGTACCAAGTTCACTCTCAAAGCCGTGCTTCTGTTTTTCCTATTTTATCTCCAGGGAAAGGTAGCACACAAACCTGGCTTCAGACACAGAACAGTAAACCAGTCCAGTTGTTTTCCCAACTGGAGCTGTGTCATGGTTAATTTGAAAAAAAAATGGTCAGACATTCTTTGAATTAACATAATTTTAATCACTTTCCATTCTTAATTTTTTTAAAGCTCTATAAAATGTTTATCACTAATTTGTACCACTATGTTTGAATTGATCAGGAAAGCAGCCTAAATAAAAGCATTATTTGTATGTAGAATACCATCATGACAACGAAGATGGAAGTAGAATAATGACTGGCTTAAAATAATATGATATCCGTTCAGCAAAGAGAAATAAATAGTGCACATTATTAAGCAATATTTTCCCTCTTGAAGGACATGACCGTTCAGCTTACTCTCTGTGCATCTCTGTAATCAAAATACTTGAAGCGAGACAATCATAATAAAAAAGTTGTTTATTTCTAAATACCATATTCCTAAAAGTATTTTCAACTGAAAGATTGACTTAAAATATTTTACTTTTTTCCTCTTACTCTTTTTAAACCAAAAGGTATCAATTGAGACTGGAACTAAAGGGAATTTTTAATAGATTGAGATTAAATCTATCCAATTTTTTTCACCCAGGGAAAATTCCTTCTCATTTATTCTTAGGCAGTCTTCTGTAGAAGGACTATTAAAATGATGAGCTGCAGTGTTTTGACAAGCACTTCTACTGAAAAAAAATAAGAACCTTGAAATCTCACTGGAATACAGTTACATATTCACCATAGAAAAGAATGCCCTATTTAAAAACTAGGACAGATCATGTTGATCTGGAAAAAGGAAATAACTATGTGAACAATACATCTGAAATTAAAGACTGAGTGGTTGGCACCCATCTAAAATCAACAGGAAATGTAATTACTCTATGCAAGTACTCTTGTCCTGTCTCACTATGCAAAATGAATTTTGCTCTGGGGAATAAAAGGCTGAGCATTATTTGTATTCAGAATAGCATTCCAGAAACAAAGACAGGGTATGAGGGGGAAACATGGTAGTGATTGGATAAAATTCCTTAGATATCATCCTAGAGAAGATAAAGACCAATCTATATTATTAAGCCATGATTCCTCTCCCATAATGTGACCTCTCCTATTACGCTCTTAGAAAATTCTCTCTAGAGATACATGTATTTTATAAACACAAAAAGGAGATTAAAGAAGAAACCAAAAGGAATCTTTAGAATTCAAAGCCACCACCTATTTTACCATTCACTCCATTTTCCCCCAGTTGGAAGGTTCTGACACCAGCTGGGCTTATCTTGCTCTGTGTTACAATACTGCTTAGGCTAAAATGGGGGAGATTCCAAGAATGATAATACAACTAGTTTGTTCTCTCAGAGAATGTATTTGCTAATGTGATCCCAAAGTAATATGTAAGCATAAATGGCACATCTACTCATACTTGATTTGCCAGTTTATCCAGAACTTAATCCATCATTTTCTTGAAGATATCAGTTTGAATACCCTGGGTATTTATTGGTAATTGCTCTATTTGTCTAATGTTGAAACTCATCTTTATATCTTTCGAGTCTTTCTTTGACCCCCACTCCTTCATTCCTGAGAGATGACTGAAGTTGTGTTTAGTTCCTTAAAAGCAGAAATATGATCCACAGATCATTTTTGAATACTGTGAAGCTCAGCCTGGAAATATTTTTATATTTTCATTGCCACAAAAAACAAATTAACTTAAAAACAAAAATAGAAGGAATTGAGACAATCTTAGGCTAACCACGATAGAGCTAACCATTTGTATGTTTTGAATGGTTACATTTCTGTACGTGGGTACATTTGTTTTAATGCAGCTAGTAAAAATAAACCACTGCACACATTTTACTAAGTTTGTAAAACATCTTCCATCTTTCCCTGTAAGCATTCCCAAATGCCAGAAAACATGCACTTAAACATAATTTCTCACCACTAGTAGCTTTAAACTACCACCCATTCTCACAATTACTGGTTAGTTCTGAGAAAACCATTGCGCTTACATCCATAAACCTGCTTTTCAGAAAATAAACTGAGTATGTAACTGGTATTCAGCTGCTGTCACTGAGTTATCAAACACATCATCTTTCCAAACACATTTCTTCATCCAGACAAACTTTTAGGTCATCATGCACAGTTCTTATGGAAACATATCCAATTCTTAGTGTAGACAAGACCACACAAATAAATAGAAATGAGATTTTTTTTCTTACCTTTGGAAAGCAGTCAAAAGCTATACTGTTGGTGGGAGAGTATACCAAGTAACAGACTTTTGTACACTCTTTCTTACTGGTGGTATACAGTCTATAGGAAAAGTAAATATATAGGAATGTATAAAATAGCTGTGCACACAATAGTCTTTAAAAAATTATTATTACTAGCTTACTTTTTTGGAGAAGAGGCTGCGATAGAGACCTTAGATGTTAGGCCCACACTTTGGGGCAGAAAGAAAGCAATAAGCTGAGGTAGACCAGTTGATCACAATTCAGGTACCTCTGAACATGGGAGTGTTGATGTGTATTTTTTGTAGCTAAGGCAGCTGGGCTTTTCTTACTTGAATTGGAGCAGCTGAGCAATCAGTTCCCAATAACTGGTCTATCTGGGTAGGACATGATTTCCTTCTTGTTGCCATCTCTTTTGGCTCAGTCTCATTCATGATGCTGACCCACCTGCCTGGTTGATCCACAATGACACAAGGAGCGTAATGTTGAGAATGCTGAGGATCCATACAAATGAAGAAGCAAAGCAAAGCAAAACGAAACAAAGCAAGCACTATAGAACAAAGTCACACAGCGCAGGAGGATGTGCCAGAGTTTTCTAGGCAATATCTGCTGTGCATGGTTTGGTGCTCACATCCATTTGCCAGTAGTCTGGTGCTTCTTTTGTTTGTGTGCTTTGATCAAACGCCCCCTTGTATTGACATGTTTCAGAATTTTCTAATTGCTTTGAAAAGAGTGCAAGATTTTAGATATTTTCCTCACAGTAAATGCTAAAATGATAGTGAAAAGCAATAGCAGAATACATACTTAGATTTAAAATATTAGCATACTTATATTTAAAATTGTATATCTGAGAAGTACACACATATATATCTATATTTAGATGGATATAAGGGTGGGATTTGAACTCATAGACTTGTGCTGTGCTTTGAAGACACGTGTTTTACCGTGTTAATCATCCCCCGGTACTTGTCAAATACTTGCCATACAATATGCTTACCAGCTTTATGTAAAAACAATGATAAACAATACGTTTATCAGCTTTCATATGGAATCTGTCTAACCTCCATCCCAAGATCATTTGTCATTCATACATCCCCATATAAAAAAAAAAAAAGAGCTACGTACCACCCAATTATCTCCAGCTAGGACTCGTTGGGAGCCAAAAGTTAAGTCTTTCAAACTTGATAGGCTTAACTATCTCACTGGAACAACCTGAGCCTGAGTTTACAGAATCCCATCTTTTCACCACGCCTTAAACACCCTGCAGCTACTAAAGACCACCTTTTCACCCCGCCCTAAATCTACTAACGACCACCTTTGCACCATGCCCTAAGTCCAAGCATATAAATACCCTTGTGTGAAAAATAAAAATTGGCAGCTTGATCAGAATCCTTGTCTTGCTGTCCTTCTTCGTGTCTCTTGTCCCTTCATTCCTTCTCGCTTAGGTTCATTGCCCTGGTTGAAGTCCTGCAGGTCAGGACAAGGACTGACTGCACATCTCTGTACCCCTATCAGGCATTTGCATTGAGGTACTTATCTGAACTAGCTGGGGGACACTGGCTCAGATGGATGCTATCTCAGAACAAAGGTAGTTAAGACCTCTCATCTTCACATACGCCATCCTCAAGCAAGGAAAGCAAGAGAGGAGAGGGCAAATCACAGAACATCTCTGTTGTGGGCAGTCTATGTGGGGATGACAGCAGAAGTTATTCACCCATTCCATTCTATGTCACCAGTAAGCTATGGTCCATGCACAACCACATGCTCCTCTTTATCCCGCAGCTCTAAGATTACCATCTTCCAAATCATCAGTAGCAAGTATAGGGAAAGATATCAAATTCAAGGGACAGGTGAAGACACCAGCAGGTCTTTTAAGAAAGGGAAGTGGAGGGCCAGGCGCTGGTGGCTCAAGCCTGTAATCCTAGCTACTCAGGAGGCTGAGATCTGAGGATCGCGGTTCAAAGCCAGCCTGGGCAGGAGAGACCATGAGACTCCTATCTCCAATAAACCACCAGAAAACCGGAAGTGGCGCTGTAGCTCAAGTGGTAGAGTGCTCGCCTTGAGCTGAAGAGCTGAGGGACAGGGCCCAGGCCCAGAGTTCAAGCCCCACGACCGACAAAAAAAAAAAAAAAGAAAGGGAAGTGGAGGAGGGAGCCCTTTGGTTAGATCTAAATGTATGCAAATAAGTCAGTCTCTTCTGAATCCCTAGCGGCAGAACTCTGCTGCTGATAGAAGTGGTTGAGCTACATCCCTCCTTAGCTCTCTGAGCTTGCTGGTTTTCAATCTGGATGTAGAGGCCAGCCAAAACCGTCCTACGGTTGGATATGTACTAGATCAGCAGTTGCACAGATTAACATTCACATTTTGACAAGATCGGTGGTATGTCTCGTATAAACAAGTATTTTTTTTTCTTTCAAACAATAGCATTTTAACTAAGAAGCGAGCTAAAAGGAAAATTTGACTCCTAGAGGAAAAGTTAAGGCTGTGCTGGGGCAGTTTCCGTGTCTACCCATCTTAAGCCAACAAGCAAGTTCACCTTTAGGAAGACATGGACTTGCAGTGTGGAGGGGGGTGAGTGGAAGCATGCATGCACTGGATGGCGAACTGCAGGGATGGAGCAGAGCTGTTAAGGATGAAAACACTGATGACTGAAATACATCCAGACTGAGTGTATAGAGCAACAATGGATACGGATATTTTGGTTCCTTTATTTACTCTAGCTCGTGCTATTATAAGTTTGACTTTCTTCTTGGTGCTATCCCCTCAGAAATTTTCCCCATCAAAGAGATGCATTCTTTATTTAATTCCTTATTAAATTCTGTGTTTCTGGTTGGTTTTCACTGGAGAGCTTTAATTCAGAAAATAGTTTCATTGTCTCCATTACCAAAGTGCAGATGTTGGAGATGATTTGGTATTTGACAGAGTATCATGCCAATCTTTCCTAGCACAAAACTATTCTATTCTTGTCACTCATTGAACTTTTCACTACTCTTTGTGCATTGGTGGGGCCTGGGTTTCCACATGCAACAGTTATCTATGACATCACACTTTCTGCACTGGTGCACCAGAATGTATTTCTAGAGTTGTGCTGTCCAATACAGTAAGCCTACAAGCCATGAGCAGACTGTAAACTTAAATGTCTTAATGTGGCTTACACCCTCTATTTCAAATGATCAAGAGCTACTGAGCTCTACTGATGGCACTCACTGGGCAGCACAGATTTAGAATACCACTGTCACTACAGAAAGAGCTGTTGTTGGTCATCTGTGGGGAAGGTGAGGTCTTTGGATTGTTTTTTGGGGAACTTTCAGAGGTAGATCATCAGAAACACCAATGTTTGGAGGTACATGAATCTCCTCCTGTGGCCTAGCCAATACGTAGTCAACGTTTTCATCAACTTTTATGGAAGTGTCTATACAATACCGGAAGACCTGAAAGAATGTTATAACATCTTTTAGCTTCCTTGCGAGGCAAAGGCTCTCTTGGATATCTTTGTTTTCTGGAATGTCCATCTTAGATGTATGTAGACACAAGAATAATCACCACCCAACAGAACTCATTCAAGCAAAGACACCAATGAGAGTTCCCAATGGAATCATTGTTGTAAATAGAACAGATAGCAGCCTTAAATTTTTTGTTTTTAGTTTTTAAGGTGAGACCTCTACCTGAGCAGCCTTCTTTAAGTTCAGGTTACTCCTTGTCTACAGATAACACAAGAAAGCAATAATGCATCATCCAGCACATTCGTTTGACCCCCATCCCCGCAAGCATTATCAGCATTACATGTCTGTATACCAGCTGTGTTACCAAGAGAGGGAGCTCGAGTCATTTGTATATCGGGAGTTTGATAAACTCATGTTGGAGAACAGCCAAGAGGAACAAATGAGAGGTAGGAGGTAGGAGTTAGACCTGAGAAATTCAACTTCCTCTTCTGAGTAGATGTATGACAGCCCGTGTCATGGAAAGGAATAACAATGCCCATTCTATAGACCTTTCATAAGGAAAACTGAGATCTTCCATACAAGACCTTCTAAAATACCTATTTTAAAGGTATCAATTCTAGTGTTAAAACTACTGTTGGTATTAGCATTCTAGACATTACTGTCACTCCCCCAAAAAAACCTTCAACCCAAAGATTAGATATAATCAGTGAAAAGTCAGCAACAGTAAAAAAAAATACAGTATGAAAACCAGAGAATTGTTATGCAGTGTTACACTGAATGAATTGTCCAGATTCAAAATTCTGATGTGATGATATTTAACACATACATGTTGACCTGCAAGTATATTTTGTAGCTATCGATTTGGGATGGTATTGTATCAAATCTGTGTGTATGTGTACAGATAAAAATACAGTACTGCTATTGGAATAGCTATAGGAATAAGGCTTCATGAAATGCAAATTTGACATGAGTGCCTATAATTATAAGCTACAGAGACATTGACAGACAGGAATATTTATCACGTAAGTAAAGTTATAAATTTGTGTCCATATGTGATCATAGCAAGATTGCTTTTGGTGACTGGATTTCATTTACTGTATGGTATTTAGTTTGCTTCTAACTGGACTGTCATATCTATTTAATCTCATTGAAATGTATTTCTTATTTTTATTATCTTTAAGTAGCTGTGCAAAGGAGAAGCCAGCCAACAAAGCAGTTTATGCATACAATGCATCTAAGCAAAGCTTTTTGGCATGCTTAGGAATGCAAGCACTTGGCACTTAATTTAGATATGATTGACGACATTCGATAACCCACTTATGACACAGATAATAGTATTTCTGTATACGTAATGATACTGAATTATAGAAAACCTCAGTGACTCTGAGAGCTGCTGATAAAAGTGATTGGGTCTGAATTCAGTTATGTCTCCACCTACACCACCATGAATGTTATGGGACTTGCCTTTTCTCTCTGGTGGACCTGTTGTGGGAGGGGTATTGCAAAGCCACCAGCCATTTCATTCATCCTTTCTTTCAGCCTGGTCCCTTAATTTCTTCTTCTGAGAAGTCAAAGTGAAACCCTCCATGGGTCTAATCATTCCACTTTACTTACTGGGAAAATACGTCATGATATAGAAGATCACAGCTCAGTGTTTGTTAGGTCACACCCACTGGCTTCTCGGACTTCTAGATTAGCTGTAAGACTTTGGCTACAATAAGATCAGTTCCTAATTGAGACTGACCTTCAGGTATGCTGGGAGTGGCTTAATGGACAACCCCGAATCCCTTCTATCTTAGAAACAGAAATTATCCTGAGGAGCACTAGGAGTTCTCATTCTTCACGGTACTGACCAAGCTATTTCTGGAAAACAAATCTTAGAACTAATCTTTCCATGTGAAAATCATTTGTGGGACTGACTGTTAGTCAACTAGCAATAAAGAATTCTGTGCATTCAAACCCTGAGCTGGTATTACGTTACTAACAAAAAGATGATGTCCCTGACCCCCTCTTACTTTGGGCCATTTTCAGGCCTGAATAAGGACTAGTAGGTGTTTTGGTTCTAGTATCTAACACTTCAGATCCCTGTCTTCCATGCATCAAATCTCTTCTTCTTCATTGATGTGGGAGGTATTTTCCCTATGCAGTGATGGAATTATCCTGGTAGTGTCTGGGGCTGTGTACATGGATGGAAGTTTAACAACTTCATTCTGATATTTTATGTACATTTTTGTTTCTAAAAGACTTTCTTAATCAAAATTGTGTCCATGTGCATGTACCAGTGAAAAGAAGTCATGCTTCCAAAGTTCTTAAAATATTCTAATTTCATTTTTAGTGGTATAGTTCATTAGGTATGGATGTTGTCCTAACAGGAAGTTATTTCTCTAGCAGGAAGGATGTGAGAAAGGAGCTCCAAGAGACGTGCTTATGTCTTCTGGAAGATCCCATCAATAAGAGTAGGGAAAGGCTTCACATTTCTGAAGCAGAGCATCTAAAAGCTTTTAACCAATAGGGAGCAAGAAAATAGTAGCAGGAATGAGTTAATCTTAGAAGGATAAAGCTTAACAATCACCAGGGCAAACCAGTCAGTCTACAAGCCAAAACTTAGAGGCAATGCTCACTGAACTTTCTAGAAGTTTTCTAGACATTTCTGCCGCAGGATGGAAAAATGAAAGGAAAGGAGCTGTACTTACTGTTTGGGTCTACGTTTTCACAAAGCTCTGTCTTTGCCTCGCCGTTGGGTCTGTCACTGGGTTTGTGTGACAGTCGAGATGACATGGTGGCTGCTGTGACTACCGCCTTGAAACTTCGCTTCCGCTTCTGGACATTGAGTTCAGGATGGAAAATGATGATGTACACTTTCGGCATGTACAGCATTCCCAGCGCCACTGACGCACTTAGGTTCATGGAGATTGTAAGCGTGGTAGTTTGTATGTAGAGCTAGGAGACACAACACACAAGGCACTATTACAAATAAAATGACCGCAGAGGGAGTCCCAACACTTAAAGCGATGTCATGAATGATTACAGCTATGAGAGGGAAAAAAAAAAAGCAACCTCGGAAGATCCTCTGATAAAATGGGTCCGGTCGTGGGGCCTGAACTCTGAGTCTGGGCGCTGTCTCTCAGCTCTTCAGCTCAAGGCTAGCGCTCTACCACTTGAGCCACAGCGCCACTTCCGGCTTTTTTCTTATGTGGTGCTGAGGAATCGAACCCAGGGCCTCAGGCATGCAAGGCAAGCGCTCTACCACTGAGCCACCTTCCCAGCCCAGCACAGTTATTTGAGAACGTTTGCATCTGCTAACTGAGGGAAGGCCACTGGACACACCCCTGGGCATGCTTGCCTTGGAGAGGTCTCCTGGATGGAAGCTCGGGGCTGACTGTGAGTCACACTGCAAGTCCTTGTCATGAAAACGAGAGCTGACTTCGGAGACATGAGGATCAGACAATCTGTCATCGGAGTATGGTGTGATTATTTAGTTTTTAATGTCACCTACAAACAAGGCTCTATAGAGATTCTAGAACCTTATTGGAAACAAGATTTATGTTCATAAATGTGTCTTCTTGTATGTATCTTCACTGTACTAGAGTGTGAGTGTCTTTTCTCTGAAAAGTTTGGGCTTGTTGCCAAAGTCTGCTCAACCCAATGCCAAAGGCGAGGGGTCATCATCTAATGTGATCCTGGCTCTTTACTATCTAGACACTGGTAAGTTGCTAGTAGAATAAGAAGACCTCAGTCTGGTATCCTTGTATTTGTACATTGTATGGGGGTTGCATAGCTACTTTTGTTTCCTTTTACTTCTTCAAGAAAGCAATAGATGAACAGCTCATTTGCTGCCCAATGAGTTTAGTCATGGTTGTGCATTTGACAAGATGGTAGCAAAAGGGTGTGGCAAACTGTGCATTCAATAAAAGGAAAGTCCCAGACACTCACCTTGGTCCAGTTGTGTTCATGATATACCTTACTATAACCTCGAACACTTCAAGTAATGAGATGTCATTGTGGTTTTTGCATGGTTTCGAAAAGCTAGATTCAATGAAATGCCTGGATATCACTGCCTTTTATGCTCTTTCACAGGGGATTTGACTCAAGTATTTGACAGCTATGAACTGGGGATAAAATCTCCTTTCCTAATTGAATCCACATAGTCTGGGCTAGACAACTACTTCACACAAATTTGTCCATTATTTCCCAATTCCTTGATGTCTGCTTTCCCAACTAGACATTGTTTGGCTGTTCATCTCCCACCAAGGCCCTACATGCTGCCTTCGTGGAACCTATCCCTGAAGATTCTAGTTTGTCTGTAGAGCAGGCAAATGGTAGAGCTATGACAAAATGAATCACTTGCTTGATGCCTTTTACCTACCTCTGCTTCAGTGGTCAGTCTCTCTTTATACATATAAGACTTTACATCAGATCGATTGACTACCTGGAAATCATGGTCTCTGTGAAACCAAGAGAGATCTAACCATGTCATCTGGAAGGAATGAAGGCTTCTAGCAAACATTCATTTGAATTTGTATGTCTGTGAGTGGTTAAAAGTAGCTGTCAGCAGCTGACGCTGTAATAGAGAATGAATGTAAAGTACAAAGACAGAGCAAGATTGAATTAATGATCCGTTGGGATTTTAATTAGATTTGTTTTTTGAAGCTCACTTCTTCCTAGTAGAGTATCTTTAGATGTTTGTGTCATTCGACTTGGCAGGCCTATGCTCTTGCCAGATATAGCCTCATGGCCATAGCTGTCATCCTAATCACCAGGACTGTGCAAGGCCAAGTTCAGCCAGTCCATGAAGGTAAGGGATGTAAACAAACACAAAGGAACATAGGCTTTGTTTCCATTTCTCTGCTCACAGGCAAACATTGTCATTGGAGATGCCATTCACAGGGTTTGTCTATAACTTGCACATAAATTTGATGTATATATGAACTCACATGTATTTGTATGTGTATGTTTATCTATCCTTTTTCTTACCAGAGACCACATTACAACTGAAATCTTTCAACACTGTGATGTCTGTATAGTGCTTAATAATTATTTTCTGACAAAAGACTAAGAAGATTGGTATTTTGTCCACTTGAGTAGTTGCTAACAATTTAGATGTAGACAATAATCAAGGTCAGTGTTAATCACTATTTCCATTCTCGATCCCTACTTCTGGGATCCTCTTTGCCTAGCAACTATTCAATAATAGGTCCTGAGAAGGAAGAGCCTTGAGCTAGTCTCTCCAAGCTCAGTCACCATTTATCAGTTTTGTGACACATAGCAGACTACTTCTCCATAGCTTTCTTGTCTATAATATGGGTGAGTTTTAGCCCTTTCCTTGTACTTTTACCTTGATGATCAACTATGTTAGTATTTGTACAGTGCTTTGGATTGGGTCTAGGATGTAATTAGTGCTGTTCAGGTATTTCTTAGGAAGTACGGTGGAAGGATAGAGATGTAGCATTTGCTTAGGATGTACATGACTCCAGGTTCCAACCTTAGAACTACAAAAAGAAAAACTGAGGGTACATAGACACTAAATAAGTACAAAGATAAGAAGATTCGGGTTAGAGATTCCACAAATATAGCTCCACAGGTTCTTACCCGGCTAAGTCCTAGGAGGGGCTAGGTTGCCGACTCCTGGGCCTTGCATGTGTATGTGTGTGGGGGTGGGGGCAGGGAAGAGCTCATCTTTACATCTTGAGCTTTCATCCACCTATTATTGATAGGATAGTTTAAGGAAAATCCCAGCATACTGATATTCAGTGTCAGTGTGGATTTTATTTTACTTGTTGGTCATTGGATGATGATGAATTACCCTGATTAATCTTGGGTATTTCATACCATTTTATCTTCCTCATTATTAGTTGAGAAATATTAACAAGTTGATGATCATTATTGGTCCCTTTTATGGAAGTGTAGGGGTGAATATAGTTTTACTGTGATTAAGCACCTCTGTCCAGGGCTGGTGGGTACTGGATTGAGCTCAATTGCAATGGAGAAAATAACATTCCCCCTCTTCCCCCCCCACCATTTTGGTCCAGTAGAGGCTCAGGCCTGTGTCAGGAGCACAGATTGCCTTGGAATTTCCACTGTTTTGATAACTAAACCTTTATCTTGCCATCAAAATTATGGTTTCACGGTAATTTCCATTTACTTCTTCTGCAGTGTTCCAAGCTTTCTCACACTCACATTTAGGTATCAAATTGATAGTTAAACAAGCAAAGATTTATGCAGATTTTCTCCAACAATTTTCTCAGACTCTTGTGTGTGAAAGCCATGGTATAATTCTTCTCTCTATCTTTCCATTCCTCATCTGTAAAAATGAGGAAAGAAAAATATTCCTAGCTTAATATGGTGAGACCAGATTCAGTGGAATGAGCTTAGCAGTACATAGGAAATCAGTAGTCATGAAATGTTGGCTCTCATCTGTATATTCTGTCAGGTTAGGTTGTTTAATGTCAGCTATCAGAATAAGGGCTCTTCTGTGACAGCTTTATGTATTTTAAACTATTAAACAAACAGTTTGTTTTTTAAAAACTATTTTTATCTGTATTGCTTATCTATATCACAGTCTATCTATATCACAGTCCTTATGTGGGCATACAGAAATATACTAGCACGGGAAATGTAATTTTTTCTAGTAGTAGTAGTAGTAGTATTTTGGTCAGTTGTGGGGCTTGAACTCAGGTCCTGGGCACTGTCCCTGAGCTTTTTTGCTCAATGCTACTGCTCTACCACTTTGAGCCACATCTCCACTTCCAGTTTTCTGGTGGTTAATTGGAGATAAGAGTCTCACAGACTTCCCTCTCTGGGCTGGCTTTGAACTGTGATTCTCAGATCTCAGTCTCCTGAGTAGCTGGGATAACAGACATGAGCCACCAGCGTCAGTTTAAGAAACAGAGTTTGGAATAAAGTTGGTTTTTTTTTCCCTTTGCTCTGCAGGAATGGATGAAATTGTAACATGATTTTTAGACACACACTACTTTCTCTGTCAGGAGCATCAGAGAAAGGTAGGAACTCTTTGGTGGAAGTTTTAAAATCAGTTTAATTGAAGACCATTTTGAGAGCTTTAAAGACATGTTAATTGTTATTAAACTTAGGAGGTCAGAGCATTTTCACTGCTGTTTGAAAAAATAAAAGACCAAAAGAAAGACTATAAAATTTATAGAAGATTAGAAATAAATTCTATGTTTCCATCAGAAAGAATGATATTGTACCATTTGCAAGGAAATGGGAAGACTTAGAAAAAAACTATATTAAGTGAAGTAAGCCAGACTCCCCAAAACATAGGTTGCATAGTTTCCCTCATTTGTTGAATCTAGAATATGCCTATAAACCTACAAGTAAACACATGGGATGGTAAAAGACAAAAAAAATACACTTGGACATGATAAACTATTCAGGACTCTAGACAGCCAAACAGTGAGACCAAAGGAGGGTATTCGTAGGAGAGGATCACAAAGGCTCAACAGCTATGTGCGTATGATCATATAAAACTGTATTTATCAACATGAACTCCAAGAAATGGAAACCAGATATTTTGTTGCTTTGTTTTGTTTTCTTTGTTGCTGTTTTTTTTTTATTTCTGTTCTGTTTGTCTTGCAAGTAAGTTTATCTGTGGTAGGGAGGGTCGGGGGGGACAAAGGGTGAACAAATTAAGCAGTGATACTCACTAGGCACTATCTTGAAAATGTGGGGAGGAGGGATGGGAGGGAGAGAGCAAAGGGACGGGTGACACTGCTCAGAAGGAAATGTACTCGTTACCTGACTTATGTAACTGTAACCCCTCTGTATACTACCTTAATTACCTGACTTATGTAACTGTAACCCCTCTGTATGCAACTTTTACAGTAAGGATTTTAAAAAAAAAAAAAAAGGTTAGATAATAAGATGAATAGACATACGTCTGGAATAAATAGGAAAACCCCAATTTCAGATGTGGGGATTTATCC